TTGTTTGGAAGGCTGTGGCTCAGTGGAGAGTAAGTGCAAATCCTCCAGTTTATTCTTAGCAGTCTCTCCCAGCAAGAAGGATTGGGGTGTGGGCATGGTAGTGCCCACCTGGAATTGCAGCTGTCCCAGAGGCTGAGGCAGGAGGATCACAAGCTCCAAGCCAGAATAACGGTAAAATGGTTGGGGAATAAAGCTAAATGAAGCTCAGTGGTAGAGTGCTTTCCTCGCATGTGCAAGGCCCTAGATTCAAGTGTATTGAAAAAAGAAAAAAGGAGGGCCAGTGAGATAGCTCAGCGGAGTAAGCGCCTGCTTAGGCAAGTGTCAGGGACTGGTGTTCAATCACCAGCACCATATGTCGTGCTGGCTTCTCCCCTAGGCATGCTGAGCCAGTGATCGAGTCTGGACATGGTGCACATGCCTATAATCCCAGCACTGGGGAGGCTGAAAACAGGAGGATCACTATGAGTTTGAGTTGCTTAGTGAAACCCTGTCCAAAAAAACAAAAAAAAAGAAAAGAAAAAAGAATACATTTGGGAGGCAAATTAGAGATCAGAGGAGGGTTTTTTAGGATGGAGAGAAGTGAGGGATAGACCTAAGAAGGAGGACATTCTCTCTCTCTCTCTCTCTCTCTCTCTCTCTCTCTCTCTCTCTCTCTCTCTCTCTCTCAGGTAGGGGCTTAAACTGACATTCCCTTGGTTGGGTCCGGGAGGTACAGATTAATCACCAGTAGCCTGTCGCTCCAGGATTGTTATCTCTCCTGGACACAATAGGTGTCTCTGTCCATTCAGGTCAATAGGTCATTCAGCTAAATGTGGTTTTTTACTCTGTCAAAGACTAAAACCAGTGCACCCGTCACCAGCGTCTGACTTACAGTACCCACGGCGGATGCAGGTTTGTCAGATATGCTTCCTTGGGTCAGTTCAGCCACGCATTTTCCCCAGGGGGCTGAAGGACCGGGCTGGGCACTCTGCTCTGTGTGCTGGACCAGCTTTGTGTGCCTGGGTCTCACGAAGGCTGTCGGCAGCCTGAAACTTTGCTGGCCTCTTTCAGAGGTTGGCAATCCACACTCGCTGCAGGGCGGTCACCTGTTATAGTAAATAAAGTCGTTTTGGAAGGCAGCCACACCCGCTGGAAACACATCTCGCCTGGCTTCTTTGCAAAACAGCAATGAGACAAAAGTGTCAGAGAGGTTGCATCACTCTCACAGCCAAAATTGTTAACTAGCTGACCTTTTATTAAAAAAAGAAAAGAAAAAAGAAAAAGAAAAATCCCTCCTGAGCTTTGTAGACCATGTCACAGAGGTACTGGTCAGGATGTGGCTGGTATATTTGTCACCTGGCTACCTGCCCCATACTCTGCAGGAGGAAGCAGGTGACAAGAGGAAATGACATGGAGGGTTCATTGTCCAAGCTGACCCTGAAGGTGTCAGGGACTCAGCCACCTGTCCTAGGCTCTTGAGCCTATGAGTGAATGTGGGTTTCCAGGCAAAGGCCTGGCTTTCTGTCTCGAAATGTTCTGCACGGAAAGAGCCCCAGAGGCCTCAGGAGCAGAGCTTCTGGGGCAGTGTCCGGCTTTGGGTGAGGCTTTATTTGCTCTCTCTGAACTTATCTGAGGAGACTGAATGGCCTATCCTGGCACCTTTTCCGACACCTTCTGTATACTCAGCAAAGCAAGTGGGGTGGGACAGGCTTTGCCAGGCCCCTCTACAGAGACCCTGACCACAACCCTCTTCAACAGTTGGTTTTTAATTAAGGAAACAGGTCATTTTAGAGAAATAAAAGCCAAAAGGAAAGTTGTTGGGAGAGATGAGCTGGGTTTTGGAGCCAGGTGGGGCTGGCTCTGAGCCCCCACTCTGTGCCTGAGCCTCAGTTTCCCTTTCTGCAAATGCTGGGTTATGTTGTTGTGCCCAGAGCGAATTTTGGATGAATGAGTCCGTGTATGAAAGTACTACATCTTCCTCACACTGTTTCAGAGACCGTGAGAGGCTGCGTGAAGCACACAGCCTGCATGCTGCCTGCCCCCTGGTTGGGTCTCAGCTCCTACCTCCTGAGTCTGGAGTGCTACCACACAAGGCCCGTACCTGGAGGAATCCTCTACTTCAGTGGACTATTCTTTTGCCTTCCCTACCCAGATAGCCTTGTGCTGAGCTGTGTGGAACTCACTGCTCAGGTCTCATGTCCTTGCCAGGGTCCCCTAACATGGGAGGGGATGGGAGAGAAGGGGAGGATTGAGAAGAAAGCCAAAAGGGCCACAGGTGTGGAGACTCAGAAAGATGATGAAGACTCTGTGTCCAGAGGACTTGCACAGACAGAAGAAATCGGAGCCTGACAGGGATCCTGAGGGAGAAGAGCAGGGGCCCTCCATTCTAGGAAGACTTGTCATTCACCCATCTCACCTCGCAGGTGCAGTGAGGCTTCAGCCATGGGCAATGGGGTGCAGGCCAAGGGAATCAAGGACGAAGCGCTGATACCCTGTCAGGAGGAAGGACAGGAGGTGGGGTCCTTCAGGGGCTTCAGATCCCTGGCATGGTTGTACACAGAAGGACTCGGCAGACACTGGCTGGAGGGTGTTTGGCGCATATGGGCTCCTTACTTTTGGGGGTAGAAGGCTTGGTGGGCTTATACCCAGCCCTGTCCTGGCTTCCTATCCCACATTGTCTAGGGGTGTAAACATTCCTCAGTAGCCCTCTTAGCTGTAAATACCCTGTCAGGAGGAAGGTATCTTCACCCCTGTAAATCTTTGACCCTCAGACATCACTGGGAGTAGAAGCGCTGCCTGGCCTTTCCCAGGTGGCAGCCAAGTGCCTCACATGGACTTAGGATGAGATTCACAGGTCCTGACTCAGCTGTGATGTCTTGTCCCCTTGCCCTGTGGGATCCCAGACGAGGACACAGGGATAAACAGGGAGGTGGCTTTTAAGTCCTATGCACCAGTTTTTGAAGGCAGGAATAAGATAGCCAGGCATGTAGATAAATATGTGGTCAGCCAGGGCCTTTCCAGACAAAAGGCCCTTCACATCTCTGTCCTGCCTTTGTCACGTGCTCTAAGAAGGAGAGATGGGGGAGTCCTATCCTGTTTGGGTGGGGAGGGCTGTGACTTGTTCAAGGTCACTAGTGGAGTGTCAGTGCCAGGAATCCAGGGAGACTGATGCTGGCTGTGGAACAGGATCGGGGTTCACAGCTTCGGATCTGCACTCTGTTCTCTTGGCCAGAGCAGCTCGTCCTTGGAGAGGCTGGACGGCCCATGCATTCTGTCATAAGGCAAACAGTTGTGCGGCTCAGCTGGGTGTTTTGGCAGCAACAGCAAAAGGCATAAAAACAAGTTTTCCTTTGGACTGTGTAACTCTGTACCTAGGAATTTTTCCGAAGGAAACAATTAAGGGCACCTGTAAGCATTTGGTTACAAAGTTATTTGTCCCTGTCCCCATTAGCTTAGGGAAATGTTAGGCATACAGCAGCAGGGAGTGGCTGAGTAGACCACAGTGTGGCACGCTCCGCAGATGACACCTGGTGCTGCTTTTTAATTGAAATATAAAAGTTCAGATATTTAAGAGGAATGAGACTTCCTTTTTTGCAAGAGTATTCTTTTCCAAGAGGGGGAAGCAACCCAAGACTCTCTCTAGGGCTGCATTCATCAAGGCTTTCTGGATAACAGAACCAATAGGATACAGCAAGAGATGTACAAGATGGGATTTATTACAGAAATGGGTTCCCTGAATTATGGAGGCTGACAAATCCCAGTCTGCTGTCTGCAAGCTGAGACCTGGAAGTGCTAGTAGTGTGACTCAGTCTGCATCCAGTGTCCCTAGAACCAGGAGTTGTGATGTCTGGGGGCAGTAGGTGGACACCCCAGACAGAGCAGCTTCCTTTCTTCTGTCTTTCTGCTCTGTCTGGGCCCTCCAAGGGTTGGGTGAAGGCTCTGCATCCTGGGGCCAGGGAATCTAGATCGGTGGTCTTGACACACTCCCAGGCATACCCAGAAATGGTGTTGATCAGCTGTCTGGGCACCCCAAAGCCCAGTCAGGTTGACAGAAGAAATCAGTCACCTCAAGGGCTAAGAAGAGTGCCCAAAACTGGAGTAGGTTTGAGTTTGGGTAGAGAAATTTGCCATGGAGAGATACCCCCTCTACACTGTCCCACGTGGCCCAGATAGAACCTTTGATTCTAGGTTCAGCTTTTCTGAGCCTGAATCCTCCCGAGATGCCCCCACCCTGGCCACAGCCTCTTGTTCACTTTTCCTTGCAAGAATGGGACCCTGAGGATCCATTGCTTTGCCTTCTTGCTTCTCAAACTAAATTTCTCCAAGGCCAGATTCATGAAGCAAGGTTGAGCATGTCTGGGTTCTCAGCCTGAACAGGCAGGTGGAGGACAATGAGGATGAGACCAGGATACCCCGACTCCCAGATTGTAGTACAGTGTCAGCTTCAGCACTCAGGAGGCTGTGGCAGGAGGATCATTGTGAATTCAAGGCCAGCCTGAACAAAATGAGCCCAAGCCAGCCTGAACTACATAGCGGGACCATGTCTCAAAAAGAAAAAAAAAAATGATGTCAGCTCAGTGTAGCTTCCCAATGCTATTGAAAGTAGAAGGACATTTCTCCTCTACCCCATACAGGCAAATGCTTTCTAAGGAGAAGGGGTGGGATGCAGTGTCAGGAGCTCTGACCTTGATATTGCACCTTTAATGCCCTTTCCCCAACCTGGCAGCATTATTGACCTCCTTGGTGGAGCTGAGGAGGTTATGATGCTATCAGGCTAGAAGAAGGGAAGGTATCCTTTCCCCTGTGGCTAGGAGGATTTCCATATTGTGCAGCACCCCACCCCCACACCAGACATGGCTTTAAATGGGCATCTTCAAAATGCCCCCGCTCAGCATCCAGCAGTAGGAGCCAAATCTCTGTGGTTGGTCCTCCGACCTGCATGCTCACCCTCTGGCTGGCTTGGCATTGGCCCTGACCTCACCCTTGCCATGATGTCATAGCACAACAGCTCTGCCGTTCCCATGGCAACAGGCTGCCATAGTTAACCAGCTAGGGAGCTGCTGGGGGAGGTGGAGAGCTTCGATCCCACCCAGCCTGGGTCAGTGGGCCCCTGGGACTCCTGGAAATCAACTTAGGGTGGCTTTTCTCTTATGCAAGAGAGGCTCTTTCTGTGCCCAGCTGTCAGGCAAGGCTTCCAAGGGGGCCTTGGAGATGGGCCAATGCGGGTCTGCTGGACATGGGTCCTGGAAGCTCGTGTGACAGTCCTTGTACCACAGGGCTCTCCAAGGACAATTTCACCTGAGAGGATGAGCATGGTTGCAAAAAGCCGGCAGGATGGAGTTGGGGGAGTGGGAGATACCGTGGTATAGCAAGAGCAGCTGCTCTTTTGGGGCCCTTAGCCCTGGCTGGGGTCTTGGAAGACAGGTAGAGAGATTATTGGTACCAGTTAGGGAGTATGTGCAGTCTACACAGCTTGCTAACATCCAGATTGGGAGTTTGGCTCAGCCTCAGAGTCTGTCTCTGTGAAGCTACCCAAGGAGGCAACTGAGGCACAGTGAGCCTGAGCATTATCCCCCTAGAGGCTGGGTGCCTGGGAACCTCTGCCCTCGAGAGCCGTCCAGTCCTGGCAGTTTGTAAAGAGATGATGCTGTGTATAGATTCCCAAAGCCATACTCCAGGATTTGGGTGGGGAAAAAAAAAACCTGCTATGGGCCTGGGGGGGGTCTCATATTCTGCCATGACATCCCTCCACCAGGCAGATCTGACGCTGCTGGTACAAAACCCAGCTCAGCCACTTTAGTAAACTACCACTCTCAACTCAGCTGAAAGTCAGAAAGTGGCAAAACCCAGACTTGGGGCAGCACCTGGGTGTCACATATTTTTAGAGGATAGAAAAAGATATGACATGGAAAATGTTCCTGATGTTTCTTTTATCTGGGCATGGCTTGGATGCCTTCAGTGATGGGGGTTTCACTGCCTACCCACTGATTCCAGAACAGCCCTGTAGGAAGTGCCTCCCTCACTGGGCCAACCTCTGCCTCCTTGTGATGTGTCATCTGGACACACACACAGTGAGTACCTTCCCGCCCCCTATGTGGCTGGCTACCTCTTAGCGAGGGGTACAGTTGCCACCACACCCATTTTGCAGATGAGGAGGCTGAGTTGAGTGGCTTGATTTGAATCACACAGCTGAGTCTTGCTCTTGAGCTCCACCTTGTGCTTTTCCAGAATTTATACCCTGAAATTGTGCACCTCTCCGCCCGCCTCTGAACATTCCTGGCTCCTTAGGATGTCCATTCTGTGACTGGTTCTGTCATTCTCATGAGCACCACCTCCCTCTGCTCTTCCTGGCCCCTCTCTGTCCCTCTGGAGCCTCTAGGAAGCTGTGTCCCCCACTGCCACAGTCTCCTTTGTCTTTGGTCAAGCTGTCCTTCCCATTGCACTGTATACGTCACTTAGCAGGTCTGTGTCCAGTCATTGCAGCCATCTCACTGTCATTTCAGAACATCCTGTGATGTTGTCACATGGGACACTGCCAAAGCATAGGCATTTCTTGTCTTTTTGGAGTCACTGAGACCCACGTCTTGACTTCTGTACTACAGATGTTGGCTGAGCCTCACTGTGAGCCAGGCCCTCTCTGAGGCCTCATCGGTGTGCCCCTCTGGGGGATCCAGTGTTCCTGGGCGTCATGGGGGGCAGGGGTGGGTGATGCCCTTTCCTGCTGAGTCGTGGAACATCCTGATGAAGCTGGTACCCTGCTTGTCCTGCATGGTTCTCTGAGCGCAAGTAGAGATCCCATTGGCACCATGTTGGCCACCTGTCTGCCTCAGCACAGTGCACAGACCCATGGCCCGGGGTTCTCTCGCACAGTGCTCATGGGATTGGATTGGGTAAGCTTCAGATATATTCTGGGGGACCAGGGAGATGGCTCAGTAGAATAAGTGCTTGCCTGGCAAGCGCAGGGTCCTGAGTTCAATCCCCAGTACCACAAAAAAGATAGATAGATAGATAGATAGATAGATAGATAGATAGATAGATAGATAGCTGGGGAGATGGCTCAGTAGAATAAGTGCTTCCCTGGCAAGCACAAGGGTCTGAGTTTAATCCCTGGTTCCGCCAAAAAAAAAAAAAACAAAAAAAAAACCAGATATGCTCTTGTTGGATTTCACCCTGGAGACTGGGCAAGGTGTGGGAGCTGTCATGTCTTCTGAGCTGGAGTCTTGGTGCTGGTTTTGTGTCCCAGTGGGTCATCAGCGCCCTGTGGGGTCTGCATCTTTGAATTTAGGAGCTTGACTTCCAAGGCTCAGTGCCACAGCCCTGTGTGTGCTGCCACGGCTTCTCACAGTTGCTCACGTGGGTACCAGTCCACGGCAGCTCACAGCAGGCTGCTGTCTAGGCAGAGCACAAGTCATGACAGTGGGAAGCTATAAAAAGTGGTCTTGCAAAATCCTGTGATATCCCAGAGTCACTTAGTTTAGGGGAACTCTGATGTGTGCATGTTAAAAGCCCTTGAGAGATTCCTTGTGCTATCATCTCAGAGACAACTAAGAGAGTTGTTGGGTCTTTTGGTTTTTTTTTTGTTTTTTCTTTTTAGGTCAAATAATATATATCTTACATACTGTCAAAGGATGGAGAACTATAACTTTACATGAGACCAAGCTTTAATTTTTTTTTTTGACAAAGCTTTAATTATATAGAAATACTCCCTTTCTAGTCTACAACAGCTAATAGAAGCTTTGTTGTTGGCCTGAGGGGACGTACTGGGGACTGAACCCAGAACCTATACACTGAGCTACATCCCCAGCTCTTTTTTTATTTTGAGACAGGGCTTCACTAAGATTCCCAGGGTAGGCCTGGACTTGTGATGCTCCTGCCTCAGCCTCTCAAAGTGCTGGGATTACAGGCATGTGCCATTGTATCTGGCTAGTGGGAGCCTTTTTATAACTGGTTTTATATATTTCAAAAAAGAAGTGCTGACTGGGTGGCTGGCTTTCGGAGGAGGTCCAAAAAGGGAAGAAGGTACTGTAGTTGCTGTGGAGGGTGGGGTAGCCTTGCACAGGGGAATGAGTCTCTGGTGGGAATGGGAGGGGTGTGAGATGGTAAATTGCCTGATTGCACCGGAGCCTGAGCCAGAGATTCGCACCCTGAGTCTCACAGGGAAACTGGGGAGTTAGCAGGTCCCACACCTGTCCACAGAGGCTCCCTACGGCCGGGGAACCTGCGCTGGGAACAGCTGTGCACTGAAGGTGGCCATGGGCCACTCTTGCAGGCATCCAGTGATACAAGACAGCATCACAGATGGAGGCTGTAGCTGTGGTGCCAGGAGAGGGTGGGGTGACAGGCTGATGGGAAAATGTGGAGGGCTCAGGTGAGACGGGATTAGAAGGAGGACGGAGTAAGACACAGCTCAGTGGAGATGCGTCTGCTGAGGCTTCTGCCCCAAGCATAGTCTGTGGACCATTGGGTCCACATGGGTGATCTCGGGGAGCACCTCAGACATGCAGAGCCTCAGGCCCCACATGAGACTTTCTGAGTTGGAACCTGACTTACTGAGATTCAAGCCCCATGCTGGACCACCTTGGAATGTTCTTGTGAGCTAAAGGGGGTAGGAGGTCCGCTTGATGGGTGACCTGACGTGAGGGCCCTGTGGTGGAGAAGCACAGGAAGTGCACAGGCCCACCCCTGGCTGTAGAGCCACCTGAGATCCACCACTTCTCAGGGATCCAGGGTGGCTGGAGGCCAGGCAAGGGTGAGGAATGCTGGGGCCTGAGTCCACTCATATCCCGGAAGTAGTACCCAGCTGTGACTGTTCTCGATTCCAGGTTAGGAGCCTGGGGCCTGCGGTCCATCTGCCAGGTTTGAGTCCTCACTGTGGTGCTCATGAGCTGTTCGGCCGTAAGCAAGTTGCTTCACCTCGCTGAGTCTCACCTCCTCAGAATTGGAAAAGGGCCAGACCTCCCCTCTTGTGGTGAGATTGCAAGACAGTGCAAGACATGTGTGGAGTGTGGGAAGAAAGGAGACCCTCAGGTGTGCTGTCAGCCAGGGCTATTTGTCCCTATCTTTTCCACATTCGTCCCCTAACTTGGTTAATCAGTCTCCACAATGACATCCAAAGTTGGTGTGTGCCCGTGGCTGTAGGAGTCAGGTGGAGAAGAGAGGCAGTGTCTCCATCTGTATGGGCCAGGACACCCCTGAAGATGGAGGAGGCAGCTGCATCTTGCCATTGTCTTGGGGACATCACACTTGCTGTCACCTATCACATCTGGGACAGGACATGGTTCCTGTTGTGATTCCTGGGCACCCATGTGGGCTAGGTTCAAAGTCACGCCTGTGGCCAACCACATAGAGGGGCTTGAACCTTGTGACAGTGATGGTCCCTGAGGGGAGTAGGCAGACCACTGTTGCAGTCATGCCTTTATCAGGACTGCTGCCAATTAGCTGTGTGACTGTTCTTGTAGGAACTGGGATGTGCAGGTCATGCCCATGACAGGCCTGTCCTCAAAGCTCCTAGACAGGCATAGGTGTAGTTTGTACTGTGCCCTACATTAGTGGACCTGGGAGGACAGTATCTTGTCTGTCTTCTAGAAGGGAATAGCAGATGTGGCTCAGGTCATCCCCAGGACCTAGTGTCCAAGGTTGGGACTTGGTCCCATCTGACAAGTCCCTATTAAGTTTGCCTCACAATGAGGGTCTCTGATGTGACGCTCATCCTTGACTCTGCCAGGGCTCACAGCAGCCACTGTCTGCCTGGGCTGCTCAGAGGCTCCTGGATGTCTGCTGGGAGTGGGTGAGAAGGCCTAGGGCCCATCCAGAGGCATCCCTGTGGAGGATCTTTTTCAGGGCGGGGCAGGGTCTCCATCTGCTGAAAGCGTTCAGAGCAGCTGTCTGGGTGCCCACTGCAAGCTGGTTTTCAGTGCTGGGGTCACAAGGCTACAGAAAGCAAGAGAGAAAGAGCCCAATGTCCACTCCATGTGGCGAGAGGCTCCGGGAAGGACAGGTGGCTGTCCACACTGGCTTCCCGTCAATGGCTCTAAGGGCGGCTTCTCCATCAGGAAAGAGGCTGTGGTTTCTCCAAGTGGTGAGACCAGCTGGCAAGAGGGTACCACCTGCTCATGGTGATCAAGATGGTGTGAGGGTCACTCACATAATGAGGATATGGGGCCTGGTGAGAGGGGTGTGGGGCCTCTGAGACCCCAGTCGGTCCAGAATGTTGTGCCCAGCACAGAGTGCGGGTATGTCTAGAGTGGTGACCTCATCTGGAAGCCTAATGCTCTTCTTTTCACAGTGTTCTGGAGAGACTCTGGGGAGCTGAGGGGCAATCCCATGTCCCAGGTGGGAGTGTCTTCATGGAGTGCATGTTCCCATCACGTCAGGAACCACTGGCTTTAGTGGCTTCCTTATCAACGCTACCATGAGTCTGGGAGGAACCTTGACATCTGGGCTGGAGGACATATCTAAGTGTGCTAGGGACCACCACTACCTGAACTTCGAAGGTGGCCTTCATTTCCCAAACTTCACCCCAAAGATCTCCACCAACTTAGGGTTATCAGCTGAGCTGGGGATTCTTCCCAAGCTTGAGAGGTCACCTGCTAATAAATGGCACAGGCCTATCCCCTCCGCATGTCTTCCAAGGCAGGCAAAGGCCTTGTTTGGACATCCCTGGGCCCCTTCCTAGTGGTGGGAAGAGCTCCGTCCTTGACAGCTGAGACTTGGACTTGAACCCAGTGCTTTTAGGGGCTGGGAAAGCTTCTCCAAGTTCACATCCTTCATATGAACACATGCTTCCATTTCTCCTAAGGGTAGACTGAGGAGTAGAATTGAGAATTGCTTGGACTTACGCTAAGTCTGTTTACCTCTTTCTTCCTTCCTTTTTTTTCCAGTGGTGATAGTGGTGGTGGCGGTGGTACTGGGGATTGAACCTAGGACCTTTGCATTGAACTATCTTCCCAGCCTGTTTTTATTTTATTTTTTTATTTTGAAACAGGGTCTCACCAGACCACTAAGTTGCCCAGCTGGACTAAAACTTTCAATCCTTCCTGCCTCAGCCTCCCACCACCATGCCCAGCTTGTTTACCTTTTAAAGACACTAACCACCAGACTGTTTTCCAAAGCAGGGCCGCACCATTTTGCATTCCCGCCAACACTGGGAGATGGTTCCAATTTTTCCACCTCCTCAGCAACACTTGTTACTCTCTGCCTTTTCAATTCCAGCAGTCCCAGTGGGTGTGAAGTGGTGCCTCACTGCAGCCTCCATCTGCAGTTCACTTGTGAACGTGGGGTTGGACGCCCTTTCATGATCCCTCTTAGCTACACATCTGTCTTTTTGGATGAAATGTCTATTTAAACTGCTTGCCCATTTCAACACTGGATTACTTGTCTTCTTACTGAGTTAGAGTTGTTTAAATATTCTGAATTGGAGGATTTTACCAGCCATAAGATCTGCAAATATCTCCTTAGCCTGCGCCTTTATTTTCATGTTATCAGCAGTACCTTTCGAAGCACAAAGGTCTCAGTTTTGTTGGTGTCCTTATTCACTTCTTCTATCGCTTGAGCTTTCGGTGTTAGGTTCAAAAACCCTTTGCCCAGCCAAGGTGATAAATAAACACTCATGCTCCCTTCGAAGCATGTGTGGCTTTAGATCTTCCATGACGATCTAATTGAGAGTCGGTATTTGTATGTGACGTAAGGAAAGGGTCCAAATTCATTTCTTTTTTGCACAGAGATATTCAACTATCACAGGACCATTTATTGGGAAAACAAAGAACAAAGAACAAAAGACTATTCTTTCCTCCACTGAATTGGTATGCCACCTTTGTCAGAAATCTCAGTCATGGGGTGGAATGTCCCAGCTTTCTTTCCCCCTGTCCTCTTGCTCCACATGGTGGTGGGCAGACTGGCCAAATACAACCTTAGCCACTGCTCTTAGTGCATGATTCTGAGCGCAGGTTCTGCTTGACCAAGAGGTGCAAAGACCTCCCACCAGAAGACGGGGGCCCAAGCTGGTGGCAGTGTTGGCCATCAAGCCTGGTCAAAGGCATTGTGGTCTACCCAAGCAGAAAAGACCTGCCTTCCTCTTGCAAGCTATGTGACCTGGCTCAAGTGGCTTTGTATTTTCCCTGCTATCTGTAAAGCAAGATGATATTAGCTCCTTACCTTCCATGGTGAGCAGAGCTCAGAGGAGAGTCCACGCAGTCACTGGCAACGGTGGTAGGGGTGTGGTGCTGTTTTCTGGCTTCTGTGTTTTGGCTCAAACAGTTTAGCCTGGGTCCATGTGGACTAAAGAGGAAGGTGGTGTTCAAGAAATTAAGGTGTGAGATGTAGGTGCACAGACATGCCATGATGAATGTAATCCTTGGGGAAGGCAAAAGGGGCCGGGGATGTAGCTCAGGAGCATAGCGCTTGCCTGGCAAGTGCAGGGTCCTGAGTTCAATTCCCAATACCTCCCCCCAAAATGTGCTAATAAAAATAAAATGTGCTTTAAAAAATGGTGGAGGGGGGCCAGGGAGATGGCTCAGTGGAATAAGCACTTCCTCCAAAAAAAAAAAAGAAAAGAAAAAAGGGTGGAGGCATCAAAGGAGCACTCCACATGGAGCACAGCCTCCAGAAAGCGGCTGCCTCAACTCACAAACCTGGTTGGTTGTGACATCAGCTCCTAGTGACAGCAGACACAATTTGTACCCTTTCAGGGAAAGGTTCCTCCTCACATGGGCAGGGCTGGTAAGACTTAGGCTCTTCCGGATGCCAGAGACCAGCAGGAGTCCCCTGATGGTCACATGAGCAAAGAGTTGGGAACTGTGCAATGAGATGTAACACTCCTCCATCTTCCCCTCTTGCTCCAGAGGCGGGACTTCCTCTTCTGCCTCTGCCTTGCCCTCCCCCAGGGCTGTTTGTAGGTGCTCTGCTGCGTGTGCTCCCACCCCCACCTGGGTCCTAACCTGCCTCCTGGGTGGGTTTCTCAGCCTCAGTGCTGTCGGTCTTTTGGGCCCAGATCATTCTTTGATGTGGAGCCCTGGGCTATTGTAGGGCCTATGGTGGTGAGGAGCACAGCCATACCTCACTGAACACAGTTGCCCCACAGGCTGTTGTCAAAGGTGTGCCATGTGGAGACAGGGAATGAGCCCTGGGGGCAAAATGAGTCCTGGCCCTGAGAATCCCAGGTGCACTTGTCCCCAGGGCCAGCCTGCCTGCCTCTCTCTTTCCTCTCCTCCTTCTCTCCTTCCCTCTCCCTCTCCTC